TCCCAAAGAACCTGCACCCACAGCCCCCAAGGAGCCTACACCTGCCACCCCCAAGGAGTCTGTACCCACCACTCCCAAGGAGCCTGCACCCACCATCCCCAAGGAGCCTACACCCACCACTCCCAAGGAGCCTGCACCCACCACCCCTAAGAAGCCTGCTCCCACCACTCCTAAGGAGCCTGCACCCACTACCACCAAAGAGCCTGCACCCACAGCCCCCAAGGAGCCTACACCTACTCCCAAGGAACCCGAACCCACCACTCCCAAGGAGTCTGAACCCACCACCCCTAAGAAGCCTGCTCCCATCACTCCTAAGGAGCCTGCACCCACTACCACCAAAGAGCCTGCACCCACAGCCCCCAAGGAGCCTACACCTACTCCCAAGGAGCCCGAACCCACCACTCCCAAAGAGCCTGCACCCACCACCCCTAAGAAGCCTGCTCTCACCACTCCCAAGGAGCCTGCACCCACAGCCCCCAAGGAGCCTGTACCTACGGCCCCCAAAGAGCCTGCACCCACTGCTCCCAAAGAGCCCACCCCCAAAGTCCCCAAGAAGCCTGCTCCAGCTTCTCTTGAGACACCTGCTCCAACCATCTCAGAGGCCTCTACTACAACTACCACCATGGGGCCTCCCACTACTCCCAAGAACCCTGCTGAATCAATTCCTGAGTTTCCTGCAGAACCCACACCAAAGGCTCTTGAAAACAGTCCCAAGGAACCTGTTGTACCTATAACCAAGGCTCCTGAAGTGACCAAAGCTGAAATGACTACAACAGCTAAAGACAAAACAATAGGAAAAGACATACATATGACGATACCTGAAATTACAACCGCTGTACCTAAGATTACAACCCAAGAGACAGCAACTCCAAGAGAAGAAACCACTGAGTCCAAAACAAGTACAACCACACAAGTAACATCTATCACATCGTCCAAAAGTACTCCTAAAGCAACAACTCGTGCACCCAAAGTAATGACTACAACAAAAAAGACAACTACAACTGAAGAGACTGTGAATAAACCCGAAGAAACCACAGCTGTGCCAAAAGATACAGCCACAAATCCTGAAGTGTCAACTTCTAAACCTCAAAAGCCAACCAAAGCACCAAAAAGGCCCACTTCTACCAAAAAGCCAAAAATACCTAAAGTGAGAAAACCAAAGACTACAGCAACTCCCCCAAAGATGACTACATCGACAATGCCGAAATTACACCCTACCTCTTCAGCGGAAGCCATGCTCCAAACTACCGCCAGCCCCAGCCAAAGACTTAACTCAGAAAAAGTTGAAGTAAATCCAAATAAAGATGCAGATATTGCTGGAGAAAAACCTCACATGATCCCCAGGCCCCCTGTGTTAACCCCTGTATTTATCCCAGGCACTGATATCTTGATGAGAGGATCCAACCAAGACATCACCATCAATCCCATGCTTTCAGGTAATAAGCATCAGTTACTTCCAGTTTTAAAATTGGTAATGTTAACTTAAATATATCTGAGCCAGAATGGCCTGAGTTAGTATCACGCTATTGATATATTATCTAGAACCCTTAGCTTGTTAACTTGTGGGGTTTTACAGCTTCTCCGCAGGGAAGCAGAGGAGTAATCACAGTAAGATTATTTGGTCTTCGGAAAATCGAATAATAAGGAATTTAGTGCATTTGTGTCTATATGCAGAGTTGGTGTACAGAATGTCAAAAAAATTTAGTTGGGAGTGTATCCTTACAAGAGTACAATGCAAAGCAAAAATCGGCAATATTATTCTCTTTTCCAAACCAATTCCAAAGGGCAATCAGAACTGAAAAATGGAGTTTTGTGTTGGGATCAAACATCCAATAATTATCTAATTTACATGAAGATCAGGTAACCTGGCCCATTCCTAATTTTATATATTACCTTTTGAAAAATATCACCTTTAAGTAAAACAATTAGGAAATATAGCTCTTCTTTTTCATTTCTGAAATATGCATACCTCCCGCTAGTCCCTTCAAGAGCTTAGGAAAAGGTGAACAGAGGAAACAGCCCTGTGGGAGGATTTGAAAACAACACGAACACTTTTCTCATTTTCTTTTGTATCGGCTTAATTTTTTGTTTTAGATGAGACTAATTTATGCAACGGTAAGCCAGTAGATGGACTGACTACTTTGCGCAATGGAACACTGGTTGCATTTCGAGGTGAGCTATGCACATATTTCTTCTTCTGCCCATCATTTTATTCTTGGCATTTATGAGAACCAAAGGAGAGTGGGAGTTTGGGTTGAGCTTTCCGAAGGGGAGCCTGACTGATGAACTTTCCTCACACAATATTATGGGGACCTGAAAGTAATTACCAAAATACAGGATTAACAGAATTAAACACATTAGAGTAACAAATAAAACAGAGAGCTTGTATGGTGACTAACATAACATAATAAAATAAAATTAAAAAAAAAGAGCTTGAACTGATACTAAAGCTTTTCTTTCCATTAGTAATTAAAGGGTAGTTCAAATTTTAATTTCCTATCAAATGATATGACACCCAGATTTGTATTTGTATTCCCTGCTCTGTTTTATATGAAAATAACATCTTGATTACAATACATTCAACAGTGCTACATCCCTTGGGAACCTAACAGGAGAACAGAAGTTACTTCATGTTACTTCTCTGCTGTACCATCTGCTGGTCCAGTCCTCTTCTATTTAGATTAAATCTGAAAGGAAACAAATCATACACTACCATGGTAGAGGCTAAAGAGATATTAGCAGTCACTGAATTATAACTCCTTAATTCTAAAAAATAAAGAAATGGAGATAAATGCCCTTCTGCAAGTCACAAAGCCAGAAGGACCGTTCTAGAGAAACTGGAAAACTAAAATATTTCAAAGGCTACGCTGAACTTCAGACCTGAGAAATACCCACTCTCAGAAATATTCAAATACTAACTTCTGTACTAATCCTCACAGTGTTGACTAAACTTGCCATATAATTTGTGTTAACATATTTTTCATTTTGGTTTCTTTCAGAATAAGTTATAGTATTCATTAAGTTTGGAGGCTGATCTATCACTTTCAATTTTAGGTCATTATTTCTGGATGCTGAGTCCATTCAATCCACCACCTCCACCTCGTAAAATTACTGAAGTTTGGGGTATTCCCTCCCCCATTGATACTGTTTTTACTAGATGCAACTGTGAAGGAAAAACTTTCTTCTTTAAGGTAAGAAAAATATCTTTCTGAGAGAAATCAGCAACTAGCTATTCTTGATCCTAAGAGCATAAATCAGCTTACCCTCCACTTCAGAAGGGTCTCCGTATTTTACTAAACTATTCTATCATCAAAATTTAATAAAAAGCTAACAATTTGGTAACATTAAAGGCCAATTTATTCACTTAACAAAGTTAAAACTTTCTCCCTATATTTACATCTAAGAATGAATCCCAAACTTTTTTATTCCAAAGCTGTTAACACCATTTCCTCTATTAAATCATCAGGATTCCCAGTACTGGCGTTTCACCAATGGTGTAAAAGATCCAGGGTACCCCAAACAAATTGTAAAAGGATTTGGAGGACTAAATGGAAAAATAGTGGCAGCTCTCTCAGTAGCTAAATACAAGAACAGACCTGAATCTGTGTATTTTTTCAAGAGAGGTATGTGTTACAATAATTGACAAAATTACAAAACTTCTAAGAATTGATTTGCCTGAGAAATTTTATTTAATATTTTCATTTATTACTGGGTTTACTGTCAAAAGATCTTTAATGGCTGGAGTCAAATTATTTTCAATGGAAAAACTGAGGACAGTAAAAAGTATTCAGAGCTCTCAGCATGCAAATTACAATTTCACCTGAATTTTCAGGTCATTAATATAGAGGTCATCATTTAATTTCAAACAAAGTTAAATATATAACTAGGCAATTTGTTGGTTTTATTCATTCAATATATATTTCAGCACTTAGCCATTATTTTATAATACCCTTGACTAACAGCCATTATTAATGTCTGGACATACTTTATGAGAAACACTGATCATTTCCTCTACCTTGTAAAAGCTCTTTTCCACCTTTCTGGGGGTTTACGCTTAATTTTCTTATCACATGTGATTTTCTAATACATAATAGGTGGCAGCATTCAGCAGTATATTTATAAACAGGAACCCATCAAAAAGTGCCCTGGAAGAAGGCCTGCTATCAATTATTCAGTGTACAGAGAAACAACACAGGTTAGGAGACGTCGCTTTGAACATGCCATAGGACCTTCTCAAACACACACCATCAGAATTCACTATTCACCCATCAGAGTCTCTCACCAAGACAAAGGTAATGTTTCTTACTGTGTTAAAAATTCTTGCACATGAAGTAGATTTACATCTACAGTTTATCTTACAGAATGAAGCTTATTGAATATAGTGACTAAATAGCCCCAATAATTTAAAGCTTACTGATTCAAAACATCAATTTGCCTCAGTGAATGACCAGATCAATATATACATATATACATACATATATAGTTTTTTTGTGAGTAAAGAATGCAATTTATTCGGGTTTATTATTTGGAATAAATACCATTTATCAAGTACCTCTTACCAAGAACATTACACACAAATCTATAAACCTCAGCAGAATTTGCACCATGTCAAAGGGAGGCAAAAACTGAGGCACCTAAGTTAATAGCTCACCCACCGTAACAGAGCTACTCAGTGATCGAAGTGGGATTCAAACCCAGGTCTGTCAGACTCTAGCGGCTGCTCTTCCCTACAGTACTTTGCTTTCAGGCTGGTATCTTTAAATCTACAGGTTTCCTCCATAATGAAGTTAAAATGAGTTTACAGTGGAGAGGATTTCCAAGTGTGGTGACTTCAGCTATCGCACTGCCCAACATCAGAAAACCAGACGGATATGATTACTACGCCTTTTCTAGGAGTAAGTTATTAAGCAACTTCTTAGCTTCTTACGGATGTGCTCTAATCTCTAAAATATGAATATAATCAAAGCAAAAACCAGTGTTCAATGGTGACTAAAGGTGTGAAGTTCAATTAAACCGAATGGGCTGCAATTCTATTCTGCACTATCCATCATGAGGTTAAAGACTATTATGATAAATTATCCAAGTACTTGAGTAAAACTGCTACTAAGAACAATATTCTACATTACCTGTGGCATTTAACGGAGGTCTTGGGTGCCACAAAATATTACTGATTTGCATCATTACACAAGTCCCGAAGACCACAAAGAGGTTCTTGAGAAACTAATTATTTTTAATTAATAGAAATTAAATTATGTTACGTGGGGCACTTTTCTTTGAAAAATTCAGAAATCTAAATTATTCCACCTATAAAAAAGATTTTTAAAGGGTAAAACTGAAGTGAATTATTATTTTTTAAACTTAGTTTTTCCTCAAACTCTTACTCCGAAAAGGGAGCGTCAAACCTAATTTTACAGAAAGCTGGTGAAAGGTCAATCTCTTGAGGCAATTGTTTTTGTCAGAAAGTTCAAATTAATACAAACATTTCTGATATTAAAATGATAAACACTATCTTTGAGTATAATAGTCAACACAAACTATTTTTAAGTTCAGGTGTTTTGTTTTCTTTTTAATTAAAAAATGATTTCTCTTCTATTTAGATCAATACTATAACATTGATGAACCCAGAAGAACAGCAAGACTCATTACTACTCGTTCTGGGCGGAGCTTATCCAATGTCTGGTACAACTGTCCTTAGACCCACGGGCAAAGGAAGAGTCAACTAATTAAATGAAGAATGAAAAATTTTGACACTGAAATACATTTTATTAATAAAGCATGTTGAGAGAAGCATACCAATTTAAATACAAAAATGTTTTTAATCTCAACAATCATTACACTAAAACAGGCTTGAGAATCTTATTCACAATTATTACAGTTTACAGGACATTTAATTAATATTGCCTCTATTTATTCCTCCTCTCCCTCCCATTGCATGGCTCACACCTATAAGAGAAAAAAATAACCAAACTGAATGCATCTTTTAAGAAGTTAGCTCAAAAGTGGAGTATTCACTTACCCTAGGTCACTATAAAATTGCTTTCAATATCAAATATCTAGGTATATAGATATAAAACTGTGTTAGACATTTCACACATCTTCAGTTGAAAATTATTACAATTAGATTAATATTTTCATGGCATGAATACAATCTCTAAGGGTTACATTAGAAAACATAGATATTAAAATTTTTAATTTTTTTAACTAAAGTCACAAAGCTTGATTCTGTTGTGTAAAAAGTATAACAACAGGAAGAGATGTAACAAATGACTATCTAGTACTGTAACACTTTGGCTTCCTCAAATCTTATTTTGAATTCAAAGAAGAAATGAATAAATATGAAATATAAGCACATATTCATTATATACCTATAGTTTACAAATCTTTCTATAAGAAGCTTACAGATTAGTAAAATCACATGCTCAATGTGTAATTATTTAATCAATCCTTGGAACATTAAAAAAAAAACTACATACAAGTTAGAAGCTTAAGGATTAGAAAACTTGTTCCATTTATTACTATCCTACATCCTATCATGTAATCAATATGTCAGAAATTTACCTCTCTGTCTGTTAAACTGACGACCACGGACACCTTGTCTCAATGTTGTCTGAAGTCTTACTCGTCTGAAAGGCTTTGGTTGACTACTGCTAGTATCTAAGGAAAAAAACCCCAAACATTAAAATATAAGAAAGCAAATTAAAAAATAAGAAAAGCATTTATAATGGCAAAATCTAGTCACTAAATGATGCATGGATAAAATGCAGAGGTGTCCATTTGCTTTCAGTATTTAAAAGTGGTTTGATTTTTAACAAGGGACATTTAACAAACAAAAAAAGGGTAGAAAGTAAAAAAAATTTTCTTATTAAAAAAAAGTGCATGATTTTTTTTCATTCATTCACTCCACTCATAAAATATATATTCACTTGGTGCCTATCCATGTATCGCTGTGCTAGGGGGTGGGGACTACAATAAAAAACCACGTATCACCGCCCTCAGGAAACAACAGACCCCGACATATAATGTGAGTCAAATGTGAATCCTCTTTTCCAGACACCCCAAATCCAATCATTAGCAAATCCCGCCAGCTCGAATTTAAATACAGTCCCCAAATCTGACCTCTTCTCACAAACTTCACTCTACCATTCTGTCTGAAACATCCTCGTCTTTACCTTCAATTAACAATACCCTCCGAACTTTCTTGTTTCTGCCCATTACACATTTTCAGTGATACTGTTCAAATCTTTAAGTCAGATCTTATCATCACTCTGTTTGAAGGCCTCTACAAGCTTCCTAAATCCATAAAAGCCAAAGCAATTACAATGATCCCCTGGGCTTCTCTTCCCTTCCCCCTCCTGTCTTCTGCTGGCCTCCCTCTGGCCTTACGGTGCCTAACCACACTGGCCCCCTTGCTGATCCTGAATATGCCACACTGCTGCCTTATAGATACCTGCTATACATCTCATCTGCAACACTCCTTCCCCCCAAAACCGCACAGCTTTGCTCCCTTGCCCTTTTCAGGTCTTTACTTAGAAGTCATTTTCTTAGTAATGCTTTCTATCAAATCGCCTGGCACATGGTAGGCACTCAAATATTTACTGACCCAACGAACTGCTCAGATGAGGAGGCTTACTGTTTTATATTACCAAATAAATTCAAAGACACCCTAATTTTATAGTATACTGTAAAAGGGAACAAAAACCGTATTTTCTTGTGCAAGCCCTGATAAGATAAAAGTGCCCATTCTACTGTTGAAGATAATTTTCATGGGATATCAGAAATATAAATGGGAGAAGAGCTCTACAGCAATTGTATTATTAATAACTATGGTAATGATAATTTTTGAGTCTTGCTGAGTGTAATGCATTGAGTTATGTAATTTACATACATTATTTCTAATCTTGACTGCAAGGTTAGTTATGATTATCCAAATTTCATAATAAAATATATATGCAGACATTTAAAGTTATTAGCTGTTCCAAGGTAGATGTGGGATCTGAACCTAGGGATGTTGGCTTATAGGCTGCTGTGTCAGGGAAAAGCAGCTGATAGGCAGGAGAGATCTTGAGATAGCAAAGTCCCATGACCGAAAAAAGATAACTGAGCAGGTCTTCCATAGAATGTGAAGGTTCAATGGCAGAATTTGAGAATTACTGCTGTAAACAATTCAAAATAAAAATAATCTGTGTGGATGACTGGGTACTGTATTTCTTCAATTAATAAAAGTAATTCCCTACCTAAACATTTTGAGACAGATAAGCTAGTATAGTGTATTGTTTAAGAGTGGAGTCTCTGAAGCCAAACTTCTTGAGTTTGTATCCTGGCCTGCCCATTATTTATTAGTTATGTATTTTGGAAAAGTTATTCAACGTTTCTGTGCCTCAGTTTCCATATGGGTGATTACCACATTCGGTTGATGTGAGAATTAAGTAAGGTAATATATGTAAAGGGCTTAGAATGCTGTCTGACACACAGTAAGTGCTCAATAAATGTTAATTATTTTTTTGAAAGTACCACAGAAATAATTTTTATTGTAGGAAAAATACATAAAATAGCCTTTTTCAAAGTTAACTTCAAAAACTTGAAAGTCAAACTTTGAAACTGTTTACGTAAGTAAATTTCAATTATTTTTTGAGCAAGAGACCTCCTACCCTTCAACTCTCCAAATCAAATCTCATGTAAGAATCCTAATACGTAGAACAAGTAACAAGAAGTTCCTTTGGTTTAAAGAGGCAGGAGACTGAAGTACTTAGCTGCCCTCCCAGTGACCCATCCCTCACAGCCCTGTGGCACCTCTAGTCTTAAAATTACATTTCCTTTAATAAAATACAATTTCCCTTTTAAAGAAACCATTTTTAATTAAGGAGGAAAAAAAGAACGATGTATTTGTTACAACAAAATCATCTTTTGCAAACAAGTCTGGTGTATCAGTTGTGTTGTACTCAAGAACAGGAACTTACCTACAGAAGAGCTGGATGGAGGATCCTGGCTGGTAGAAGGAAGATCTGACTCATCAGACGCCTGAACAGGTTCTTCTTCCTGCTGGCTATCAATTTCTAGGCCTGCTTCTGAACTAATACTAAGAAAGGAAAACAAAAATTGATTAGAAAATGCAAAACTGGTCCTTGAGGTATCCTAAATTGTTCCCAAACTCTTTCTGACATAGTTCATCACTTCAATAACCCCGTGCTTCCCTCTAACTCAAAACTGTAGACTCTTGATATTGATAACTGTATTTTTTTTTAAAGGAGCCAGGGAAAAGACAGCTCAAGTTGCTTTTTCCTTATTCCTCTTCTCACTAGGACATGTTCCAACTTTAGTTTTTATTTCCCCTGTTATTTTTTTTTTTTTTCTTTTTGGCAAAGGATGGTTCACATTCTTGACATTTATAAGAGATACACTATACAGATTTTCTAGGAAGGCAGAGTACTAAAATAATTCACAAGTCCCAACTAAACAATGTACCACTAACCCACCATGAGCTCTAGCCCAGATGAGACATGCTGCGGGTACGTGAATTCCTGGCTCCATGGCTGTAACTCCAACACTCTCTCTCCCATTCAATAAAGCACATGAAAACACAAACAAGGGAGAAAATAGCCCAAAAGTAAGTTGAATCTGCTCCAGTTTTATCATCTGCAAACTTCAGTGCAGTCATTAGTAACAATGTATCTGAAAGATCTCTCTCTTGACTACCTGCCCAAGTTGAGAATTACTAGTGAAGGGTAAAGTGCATGGGGCTCAAGTCACAGGTCAAACCCAGTCTAAGCCAGTTACCAGTGGCCCAAGCAAGTTATTTTAACATGTTCTGAGTCTGAGCTTTCTCACTGTAAAATGGAGAAAATACTTAGAAGAGATTCTGTGTGGGTTAGAAATGACATATCTAAAGTGACTTGCATACATGATATGAAATTAACGGCAGCTAGTATACTTAGCAGGATCTATTATCTCCCCCAAATTAAGCAGCACTGTGTGAGAGCGTAATAGTAGGCTTGCTTTTTTCCTCATATACTAGAACTGGTCTATACTTATGCTAAGAAAATATTGCTAAATAAAACAAAATCTTTGAGCTCCATCTAGGAAATGTGTTCTACTTCTAGCTGAGCTTCTTTGAAGTAGTCCAACTTTTTTATTTTGTAAAGAATTAGGTTCTGCCTTGAAAGCTAAACACTTCTCCAAGACCACTGTCCAGGGGTTCTTTGCATTAAATTACTCCTCTGACATAAAAAAAAAAAAAAAAAAAATCCAGATGCTGTGTCATAAAATATTTCTTTTGTTAAACTTTGTTTATAACTGATGTGTTAAAATGTAGTCAGGTCTTAAAAACTACTACAAAGTTTCTAATTTTTAAGAAGTCTGCATTTCAGACATCAAGTTCTAAACGCACATAAAGAAAGAATAAATGAGGTTCACTTGAAAGCCCACTACAAAATGGAAAGTGAGTCATTTCCTAATTTTCACAGAATGACTTCTTTCTTAGGGAAAGTTCAAGCAGCTACATGAATTGAAAGCTATTAGTGATTTTAAATAAATCATTTTTCTAGAATACATCATGTAATTTTCAGGAAGATAAACATTTAAAAAATTACTTGTCTGCTAATAATATCCAAATCCTAAGATATATTACTATGTGCAAAAATTAGTCTTCCAAAATGTATGGCTTGTTTTATTTTTGTAATGGGATGCTACTAAAAAACAGCTCAACAAACTATTTCCTGGCTAAAGGAAAACAAGTGTAAAAGTCTAAAGCAAGCAGAAATTATAAAGTAAATATTTACCCTTCAGATTCTGCCTC